CATCAATTCATGTTCTGTATATACTCGATGATGATTATTTGGACTTGTTCGAGGTCGTTCATTGTATTGATATTGATGATAAGATGGTGTAAGATGATGAGGAGGAAGAGAAGGAGAAGACGATGTATTAATTGTTGGTGCTGTAAAATCACCAATAGATTTTGATCGTCGACGTAATATTGATCGTGTTGATGATTGTCGAGATCGAGTTGTTGGTGGCATATATTGTTGACCAGGTGATTCATCAGATGGATAATAATCAGATTGTACAATACGACTTGGTCCAAGAACGAGACGATCAACAACAGTAAATTCGTTTCCGTTACGATGTCTAGTCAATGTAGGTGTACGTAATTTAAAACGTTGAAGAGGAGGAGATGATTTATTTACAAGATGTTCGTTAAAATCTTCTATCGGTTCATCTAATCGTCTTGGCGTCCTCGTAATTGTACGATGATCATTATTGTTTGATGTAAATGATGACGATATCTGTCCGTTTGTTGAACGATTAACATCAAAGCCCCATGAACCCATTGTTGTTGACGATGGTTGATGAATAACACCATTACTAACATTCAATGGATAAGATGGTGATGATGAGTGTGGACGATACCAACGAGTATCTTCAATATCCTCCTCCTCTTCATGTGAATTTAGAAATCGATTTTGATCATTTAAAGTTGTTGTTGTTGCAATAGGCATTAATGGTTTGTATGATCTATACAAAAATCAAAAAATGAAAGAGAAAGAAAAAGAAAAAAAAACAATAATCGTTTAATATTATGTTGAAAAAACAAAAACAAAAAATTGATTTATTCTTTTTCAATATTATTTAAGTATACCTTGTTTTTGTCTTATTTTACGATTAAAAAGAAATAAAAAATTCTTTTCGTTTTTGTCTTGATGTTGCCTCGTCATCGACATTAAATATTGAAGAGTAAATTTTCATATTCGAATGAATGAATGAATGAATAAAACAGATTGACTACAGAGAAGGGTGAGATGACGATGACTGTGGTGCAGCTACCGTTTGTACCGAACGGAAGAACAGAGCAATAGGACGGTATAGTCAGAAAAAAAATTGCGAAAAAAAAAGAGAAAAGAGAACTTCAGTTCTATATTCGATTACACAAATTGACACATAGACAAAGCAGTAGTATATAGGCCGCTCTGTCTTTCTCTCTCTCTCTCTCTCTCTCTGTTCCTTTATTTCTCGTACCCTCACGTACTGAATGAAACTGAATTTGAATGAAAAAAGAGACCGAACGCAAATGTACATAAATAGAACTATGTATGTACTGACTGACTATCGTCTCAATATTGCATCACAGGAGTCTATTATAGAATAAATGATTGAATGACTGAAGGCAGGAAGGAGATGTTCAAAATTTGTCATTACTATCATCATCGTTCTTCGACTTGTTTACAAACTTGACAAGGCTATCTCATTCAGTACGCAGGTCATTCTCGCTCATAGACATACATATATACATATATGTGTATATATATATATACAAATCGATAATTGATGATTGACGAGCTCGTTCACTTATTTTCATATACGATACTTTAAAAGCTGTCAAAAAAAAGTGTAGAGAATACGAAGGTGTAGGGAGGTGTCGGCGACAAGAGCAATAGTATGTAATAAGCGTTCGTCTTTTTTTTTTCTTTTTTTTTTCTCTCAAATATAACGCTTACTTGTCGTCTAATTAGAAGTATTGTAAACTGACGACGAAAAAAAAATATCAGAGACACAAGACAAAAAAAAATAGGAAGAGCAATATGCGCAAATGTGATAGAAATAAAGTTTCACATGGGAGTGATGATGATGATGATGATCTATTGCATAAAATAAAAAAGATCATCTAATACACAGCATGCATGATAGTAATGGCAATGTTGACTTAAATCTTAATCGGACCACAGACACTTCCCATGATCATATAGGTCATCTAAACGTGTGTGTGTGTGTGTGTGTGTGTGCATATATGTTCAGTCGCTGCTGTGATAGTTAAACTATAGACATTAATCTCAAACAAGGTCGATGTAACAACATGTATGAAATAACAAGGGCATATGGATATGTATTAGAAAAATAAATGCCAATGTCCTCAATCAATAAAACTTACTTGACACATAAAGCTTGTTTTAAATTTTTCATTTTTTTCATAATGATGAGAGCACTTGTAGCTTTTACCTAACATATAAACTCCTATTCTGTTATCTACTTCTCCTTTTTCTTTTATACTTGCCGTTATAATGACTCTTAACATTACTACTATCTTGCTATTACTCACCAGTCACTGTAGATGGATGGCATTCAATGTTCTTTTTGTCTTGACCTATGCACTCTTATTGTATCTCAAAATAAAAAAAAAAGAAACAAATCCTCTTTTGCGCTCAATCGAATCTGTGGTAGCTCCCTTATAGAAGCTCATATTTCTCCAACTGTCTTATCGATATTAAAAGGTATGTATGTGAAAAAAAAGAAGAACAATTTTTTTTCTTCTCTTCTTCGTTATATTACTTTGACTAGCGTTACTATTATTTTAAAGTAAACTCCTCACTACACATTATATATATCAAAGCATACAACATAACATGAACATGAGACAGTACGTTCATCCATCCATCCATCTATATGAGAAAAAATTACAAAAACACTGTTGAATGCTTTTCAATGTAGAGACTCGTGTGCACGCGCCCGTCGTCACCGCCGGTACACAATTGAAAATTGATAATATTAGATGGCTGCACTAAAGAATACCGGGTAGACGTTATGTGAAGAGTAACTGTATGTGAATATATATATGCATGCGACTACAATTATTCATGGAACAGCATCAACAGTGCTTCGCGTCGCAATTGAGATGCAAATTGCCTTTTTTTTGTGGTTAGTTTTTTTTCTTGATCGTTGTTAATCAGCTTCGTTTACTAGATGTAAATGGATGAAAACAGAGAAAGAGAGGGAGAAGGAGAGAGCTTTTCTCTTTTAAAATCACGTTTGTTTTTTTTTGAATAAAATTTCCCTTACTTATATAGTGATCTTGAATTATTAATATTAATCGAACCATTATAATTTGATTCATTGTCTGTATCAATTGGATGCAAATCAGTAGCAAAATTAGGTCTAATAATTGATGAATATTGAAAGGGTATATATAAATATAAAAGATTATATTTACTCGACAAGAAGATCGTTAGCAATTGAAGCTGAAAGACGTAAAGCATTAATCCATTGTGTCATTAATTGTTTATTATCAGCTGAAAAGAAAATTGGTTTTTCATTTATTGAATTTGGATCATAGATCTAAATACATAAAACGCTTTTTGTTGTTTTTTTTATAGAAAATAATGTTTTTCTTTGATTACTTTAAAAGTATATCGTTTATGTGATATTGAATCAATTGGAGTCGTAATTGATACACGATAATTTTTAATATTAATTATATTTTCAAGACGTTTATAATGTGAATCTTTAGAAGAATAAGAGATAAAAAAAGAAAAGCAAATCGTTTACATTTTTGTTGTTTGAGTAATAATATATCCAATAAATATATAAACAAGAAAAAAAAAAGCAATTTCTTTACCTTGATATATAGTCAACTGTTGATCTTGTAAATGAAGCCATCGTTTTTTCCAATGTTTGAAGGTTTTATTGGCATAATAAATATGTAAACTACCCGATCGCTCCACAAGATTGATCCTTGAAAAGATTTTTTTTGAAAAACAAGAAAGTGTTTACTGTTTAAATTATGAATTAAAACAAACAAATATTTCAAAAATTCTTTTTCTATCTCACTCGTTTAATTGCCAATGATACATCTTATTGATATTGATCAATATTTAAATATTCTCCTCCTTCAATCATTCATAATCTTCATCTTATTGAAATCATTGAAAAAGTCATAAAGTAAGAAAATGCCGACGAAGAAGAACAACAATTTGATTCGACTTTTCTCTATCTCTATCAATCGACCTTGTACATACATGTATAGATTAAAAAAAAAGAATAAAAAAAAAAAAGAAAGGGCGTATGGAAAAGACATTTTACAAATAAACATAGACTATACACTGCCCGATCATCATCAACTAAAGATAAGAACATATGCATACACGTGTTTGTCTATCTACGTAGTTCACTTGTCGGACAGGCAAACAAGTATTTAATATACACTACCTGTTACTGGTCATTATCGATGTTGCAAATCTATTTAAATATTATTGACAGCTGCCCTTGTCTTTATATGCAGTACATATAAATAGAATATCAGATTGAGAAAAATCATTATTACCTACTGTCGTTTTCTCTTCGTAGCCATCAACACTTTTTTTGTAAAGAACGAGGAAAAAAAAAGAGAAATTCTTTTTTTTTCCTCTTGATTTTGAATCACGATTATATGTACGTGAAAGAACAGAATGCACCAGCCAGTTATGCCGGAAAAAATGAATCAGATCACACCTTACTTGCATAAGCAAACAAGCAACGTATATAGTACTTGTCATAAAGCCCCAGGCACACGTGCTCATAAACCAATTGAATCACATATACTTGCCAGTTTATGAGATGCACTTTTTGCTTCTTTTTCGAAATCATCTTTTAAGATAAATTTACTTATAAGTGAAGTGAGGATATATAGATATAGTTTATGTTTGTAACATCAATAATGTGTTATACAAGACCAAAGAGAGAAAAAAAAAATACATTTCACACAACCAGGAAAAAAAAATACACATACATATATAGTATGTATATATATATAATTCTATACACTATATTTTTCTTTGCTTGTATTTCATAACATACAGCAAAACAAACAATTTTATTTAATTTCTTATTTTTTTTTTTTTTCATTGTTAATCTTTCGCTATCTATAAGATATATGTATATAATGTATATATACACATTGTATTGTTGCAAACAAACAAGCACACATAGCCGAAACAAAAAACAAAAAAAAGAAAATATTTATCTATTCTATTTGTTTATTTAATAATAATCATGATGAAATTTTATCTTTTGTTGTTGTACGACGATTTGTTTTAGGTGATGGTGATGGTGATGAAGATGATGATGATGCTGAACGTAATTGAGGTTTTTCATATGGAAAATTAACACGAGATCGATTTGAACTATTTATTGAAGTTTTTCGAATGTTAGTACCATTAACTGGTGATGAATCTAAATTAAACACAATATATTTATAATTCTCTTAGTTAAAAATTCTTTTAACTAATTGTTTCTTTTTTTTGCCTAGTAATAAATCTCCATTTAGTTATCAATTAATACTGATTAACAACTAATGTATCACGAAAGATTATAGTCTAAAATAAGGATTAAAATAAATCCAAATATTAATAATTATGTGTATGTTTATTTAAATATATCTTTCTCGTTTCTTTTTTTCTAAGTTGCAAATTTTGTCCTTGTTTAAAAATGAATGGTATCATATTGGATAATTAAGAATTCCATATATTCGGTTTTTTTTTTGTTCTCTTTATTATAACAGTAAAACTTATGTAATCGAAAAATAATTCCATTTTTTGTTTAGTTGATAAAATGTTTATTTAATTCATAATATGAATAATGACATGATTATATCAATATACAAAAAAAAAGAAAAAACCTATATAATTATACTTCTTATCAATGTGATATTTCAATATGACATTGATCTAGTTGAAGTTCATATATAAATTTGAGTAGTTAAAAATCATTTTTTATCGAGGTCTAGAGCTTATAAAACACTTTACCTTATGTTTTTTTTTTTTATATAGTGATCTTTTTGCTTTATCGTTACAAATTGTAATGTTACATTTTTTATAACTATAATTAAGATACATAGTCTTTTGAAAGATTTGATTTTATGTAAAATAAGAATTCTATGAAATTAATTTTAATAAATTTGGTTTATAATTTAAAATTCAAATGAAAGAGAAGCAAACTACAATTTGGAAGAAATGTGTAAATATGAGGTAAAAAAAAGGTAATTTCAATATATTAATAAAAAAAAATGTTTTTTTTTGTTGCTTACTTGAATTAGTTACTTGATCTTCATTAACATCATTACTCGTTTGACGTTTACGTTTTTTTATACTTGGTAAAGTTCGTTTTTTTTTCATTGAATTATCTTCTTCATTATCTCCACTTATTCGTTTTTGTTTTATAGATTTTGTTGGTGTTGTTATAATTGTTATACTTGATGATGTATTTATATCATTAGAATTTCTTATATTTGTACGTTTATTAATTGGTGTTATTGTATCACTAACTGTTGTTATTGTTATTGGTTTAAGTTTGATTTTAAAATCTTTTGGTAAATATGATAAATGATTATAACGTGTTTTTTTAAAATATATATCTGATAATGGAACATTTGAACTAGCACGACATATCATTAATGATGATGCACGTTGTGATAATATAACATAAGCTAAATCAACAAGTACATGTAATTTTTTTAATGCATCTTTTCTTTCAGCTTTTTCTTCTTTATCTGATGATATTGTTGCATCTTCAGATGATTTTATTGAACGTAATAAACCTTTATAAAATAAACCAACTGTTGTATCACAACGTAATAATAAAGCATCTAATAAAAATAATATATAATCTGTCATTGTATGTAACATTTCAATATCATCATATAATATAAATGCTGGTGATTTTGATAGAAAATAAAGAAAATATGTTAATGAATATTCAGGATATAATGTATAATCAATTGGTTTATCATCATTTGTTGATGAACAATTATTATTATCATCATCATCATCATCATCATCATCAAAACCATTTGTTTGTTGATGACCATTTGTTTTTGAAGTTGTTTTATATGATAATTGAAGTTTAATATGTTCACGACGTGTATCAATTATTTGTAACATTAAACGACGAATTTGTTCACGATGTTCACGTTCAGGTTCTTTAGCAGCAAATGCTAATAAAGCAAGTAATTCAATAGGACATACAGGATCACGTAATTGTTCAGCTAATTTACGATATGTTCGTTGACGTATAGTTGATGATGGATCCTAATATATATATATATATATACAAAAACAAAAAGGAATTAAATAAATTTCAAAAAAACAAATGTTCAATACTTACACGAAGTAATGTCATTATCATAAGAAAATCATCAGGTTTTATACGTGTATAAAAATATGGATGACAAATTAATTTTAATAAACATGATAAACCACAAAGACGAATATAAATTATTTCACTTTCACTAAGAAAATCAAAATAAATTAATATTAGTATATATGTATGAAATTTTTTTTTTCTATTAGAAATACGAATCATGTTTTATTGAGTGCAGAAATCCGATGAATGATATTATCTGAGAGATCAAATTCATTATTTGAAATATATTGTCAGTAGAATGTCCTGACAATTTCAGCTCAAAAGAAAAATGTTTTCTTTCCGGGATATTAATGTCAGAAGAATTCTAGCATCTTTCTGTTTTTTGCGACTTTAATATCTCGGGAAGGAAACATTCTTTTGAGATGAAAATCTTCAGGACATTCTACTGACAAATAGATCTGTCTCTGTTGGAAGAATCTCAGATCATTCGATATGTGATTTCTTTACAATGAATTGTGTATTCTTTATATGATATATAAGAAACATCTTCCAACAGTATTTGACATTCATCGGAAAGTAATCGATTTCGTTAATAAATTCTTCAATTACCTCATTTCATCTGTGAAATCTTGATCTTTTTCAATAGATTTTCGTATTAATTTATATGTAACAATAAATAATCCAGCTGAATTTTCACGTAAACCTAATACTGCACGTGTCAATGCTTTAACTAATTCACGCTATTATTAAAAACAAAAAAAAAGCAAATTTCAATATAATTATTTCAATTGTATAAATTTACTTTAACACGAGTATCAGCACCAATTTCTGGATCAGAATGAGGTTCATCAGCTAATAAAGTAAAATGTCCATGTAAAAATGAACTTGTCATATTTTCATCATCATTATCATTTATTTGTCGTTTATCAATAATATATTTTGATATATTATTAAGTATACGTTTACCAATATCACCAAGTGCTATTGGAGATATTTTTAACATATGACCAAGTAAAACAAGTCGAGTTATAAATTGATCACTATCAAATTGATCATATTGTGTATCCTAAAAGAAATTCACAAAATTAAAATAAACTAATCAAAAAAAAAAAAAATATTTATGTCTTTTTGATAATACATCAATCATTTTTTTAAGTATATCATCTTTTTTATTTGGATGTAATGCACATATACAATAGAGTGCACGTTTTGCAATTGGTGGATGAAGAGTTAAATAAGTTGAAAGTTCAGAATCAAGAAGACTATAAATGTAAAAAAAAAATTAAGTTGACACGAACAAAGAAATATTTAATTTATACATACGTTAGCATGTTACTTTGATTTGATGTAATAATTAATGGTCCACATGCTTCAATTGTACGTAAAAGTATAGGAGCTGATAATAGACAACAAACAAAAAAAGAAATAAAACTTTATTGAAAATGATCGATGTATATATATATACCTAATTCAAGTACATGTTGTTTTAATAGATTACAAAGAAATTCAAGTGATTCTGGAGAATTGAAAATAAATGGATGTTGAATAAATACCTGGTAAATAGAAATAAATTTATATATGTAATAATTTTAGTTTAATTTATTTAACAAAAACAAAAATCTGTTATATACTTGATATAAGAATTTTTTGAAAATTGAAGTAGATTTTATTAAGGAATGCAATTATTTCATTACTTAATAAATTAATTCAATTTGTATTTAAATTTTCTTTATTAGAAAATGTATCTTTCACTTTTCTATGTATTATGAAGGACTATATTCAACTGTTGGATTTTTTTATTATGGCTACGAGTTGATTCTTGTAAGATTAAGAAAAGCTTAGAAGGATTTGGATATATTTTCGAAAAGGACATTTTCGTTTAACGCTTCAGAACTACCTAATGACTATTAAATATGTTTCCTTCCCAGGTGAAGACATACGGATTATTTCCGGCCCGGAAATAAACGAATCTAGGCGCCTGAATCATTGGCCTCGGTTGTTAACTATAAATAACTTTTATGTTTAGTAGAGAAAAACGTTCACATTATAGAATAAAATTCCTATATTATACTTATTTTTTCATTATATATACAATTGAGAAATAGTTATAATTTGTTTCGTCAAAAACAATTTTCTTTATTCTCTTCAATTCCTATTCGTTTTCATCTTCAAAGGAAGATCAATTACGAAACATTAGTCTATGATTAATAGTTTATTACTAGCTAATTTCAATTCATAGTGTCATAGTTCTATAATTCGAAATTTAACATTCATCTGAATTATATTATTATACAAACCTTTAATAATTGATTAATATTTTCATAATATGATGTTGGTTGTTCTGGTTCTATAAAGTAAATAAATTTATTTATTTATTTATTTATCTATTTTTCTTTTATATTTTTAATTTACCATTTGATACTAGTTCAAATATAAATTTAAGTAATTTACTAACTGTTTCTTGATCAAATAAAAGTGTTGAAATTTTTTCAAACATCATTTTTATTAAACCACACATTTTTGTAAATTGTCCATGTAAATTATTTTCATTATTTGTTGTTATTTGTTCTTCAGTTGTATTTGTTGGAAAACGTTTTTGTTCTTTTGCTGCTTCATCTAATAACATTTGTCCGATAGCATTCTAAAATAAATATTTAAAAAAAAAATTAAATAATATATATACAAAAAAAAAAAACAATTTTTTTTTCTTAAACATACAGCTAATGCATAACATTCTTTTGATTTAATTCCATCTGATATAGCTTGTCTAAATATTAATAGAATACTTGATTCATTATTATTTATTAATGATTGTTTATGATTTTTAATTGCATATATAGCAAATGCTTTTAATACAAATTCATTTTTATCTGGATTTGGTAAACAACCTAAATAAAAGAAAATATTGTTTTGTTTTGTTTTTTCTTGTTTAAAAAATAAATAGAAGAAAACGTACGTAAAGCAATAGCATGAATAAGATTAACAAGTTTTAATTCAATTAATTGTTTTTCATCGTTTGTTATATTTAGATCAGCCATTTGTAAACATAAATCAATTAATTTATCTAATTGACGACGAAGTCTAATATTAAAAAAAAAGAAATATCGATATACATCATTAAAAATAAAACTTCAATGAAATACTTACAAAAATTTGCTATGAATCATTTCACGAATTGCTCTAAATAGAAAAAAAAATTTATTATTCAATATTCATATAAAATTTGTTATAATCTATGAAAGTTTAATAAATAAATCTATAACATCTTTATTTATATTCTTTCTAAATTATTTGCAGTCAAGTGATAAGGTCTTTTTGTATGTATGATTAATTGCAAGTTTGTAGTATGGATAATAAGTTACTCATGACTATTTTCTTTTTAAGTATAGCGAAATTTCTTGGATTACAGTTATTCGAGTGAGTTTTTTCTAATAAGATGCAAGTATGAGATTATCTAATATCACCTTTTTTGAAATATAAATATTAGAAATATGTGTACATAGGAGATACTACAAAATTAAACACTTTATTTATGCAAAATTTGATTTTAGAGATGATCAGACTCAAAGAGAAAGATCTATGAACACGAATTCTTTGATGCTTTCTCTAGTTTCAATAGAGCTTAGCTAATGTGGTGGTTCAATCGCACAAAAATATTGTAGAACGTGGAGTTCGGCTCCTCGACTATCTATGTCTGTTGAGAGAATCAAAGGCTTCTAGAGAACTGAACTCCCTTCCTAATCATACCACTAACTTAATGAAGTACGAATCATTTCAAAGTCGATTTCTTACTTAACAAAGCTCCATCGTTAATATCAATTCCGCAAGGTATTAGTAAGTAGAACTTTAAAATCATACTCATAAATAGAAACTAATTTAACCTTCCCTCTCCATTCATTACTATCTGTGTACTCAAACAAAATGAATAAAAATATCTTAAATTTTTTTCTACTCTAATGTTTTTATTTTTCATATAAAACAAAAATAAAAAATATCAATTTACCGTTGAGCATTTTCGCTAACATTTGAATATAATGTTAATAAAACTCGTACTTTATCATCTGTATTAACATCCCATGGCATTAAATAAAAAGTCAAAAGTCTTTCGGCTAATAATCTAAAATTAATATATATAAGAAAAAGAATAGAAAAAAAAAAGGTTCTCTAAATATTTTCATACTTGTCTTGTGTAGCTGTTTGATAATACAAATGTATAATACAATTTGCAACCCATGTTAATTGTTTTTGTATGTCATTTGACCAATTAGCATTAATACATTCTTTTTTATAAACATGTCCAAAATAATCAAGTGCTTCTTTACGAACTTCCCACTAAAAATAATAATAGGAGGCAAAAAAGAAAAATTGAAAATAAAATTTATTTTATTTTTAAATACAATTTTATCTCTTGCACGTTCACATAAAATTTGTTTCATTTTATCACTTATATCAAGAAGATTTGAATTTGTTATAGCACGAATTTGTATCATTAATTGTAAACGTATATTTGTATCAGTTGAAAGACTTAAATGAACCATTACATCTAATCAAACAATAAAAAAAAAAAATTTTATTTTGTTCTTAATAATAAAAAAAAAACACATTAATTAAAATTCACCTTCAAGATCTGTTATTAATTCTGGATGATTAATAAAATAACTTTTTAAATATTTAATACATGTCGATTGAATTTCTGGTGTTCCAGTTTTTAATCTAAAATAATTCGTTTTGTTTTCTTTTCTTAAACAAAACAAAAAAAAAAATAAGTTAACTATCATACTGTTCAAGAAATGTATTCCATAAAGTTTTATATTTTTGTGCAAAATCATTATTTGATGAACTTGTTACATAAGCTATAATTTTTGCAGCATCACGACGATGTTTTTCATTTGATACCTAATGTAAAACATATTGTCTAATGAATTTTTTTTGTTTTCTACAAAAATTTATTTCTTACTGTTAAACGATGTTCAATTGTTGGTATAAGTTCATCAACAATTGTTTCTGATATATGACATAATCCATCAAATATATTATAAATTTTTGTATGTAAATGTAATGATTCAATATCTTCTGTTATTAGAACAGCTTTGAAATACTAGATAATTAAAAGAAATCAATTGACAAAGATTATATACATAAATAAAAAACTTACATCAGCTATAACTGGTTTAAGGAATGATTCACATCGACGTATAATTGCTTCAACTAATTCATAACATTCTTCACGTAATTTCTATTTAAAAAAAAAAATATTTATCTATTAGAAAATAATTGAATATTATATTATTATATCAGAAAATTACTTCCATTAAATTATTTCGTATAATTATATAAACGTATTATTGTTGATTAATATAAAAGAACGATCTCGGACTCCTTCATTTGACGACTCATCAAATTGCTATAATTTAAAACTTTCAAATGATTTAACTAATTGGTCTGATCATTTCTTTCTTTATTGGAAGAGTTCAGCCTATCAATCGCTTAAGACAGTGAGTATACGTTCCAATTTACGTCAGATTAGATTATTTGATGAACGATATATGCATATTTTTGCGATTTTCATTTCGTTTTCGATTATTTTATCATGCTTCATTTTGGCTTTCTACATTCATGATTATAACTATCATATGTATACTCTTGCATTGTTTTTCATGTCCTTGATCTCTTCTATATATAAAATTTTCACAAATTCGACATAAACAGTGAGAGCAACTATACCAAATCGAACGGGCTGATTTTTTAAATGTAAGTTGCTTACTATATAAAAATAATTTGTCAATCAAATTAAAGACTTATACAAAACTCCTTGAGACAAACGAATTTTTGGAATATATTTTACCTTTCATTAGTATATAAAAATCCCTAAAACGAAGATTTTTGCTGTACAAATTCAATGTATACCTAATTAGATTGATTAGCTTCTAGGCAGAAACAACTCGAAAGAAAGATAAACTTGTAGTCTTCTGTGTCATTTCTTTTCATCTATTAAAAGATTCTCTATATAATATATACACATTTATTCTAAAACTAAAATGTCAAAGTCAATAAAACACGTCATATATTGACCTTAATATATTTTGTCATTTACTATTACTAACACTTATTGTTAATCAACTCTAAAAAGTTTTTATATGAATACAAAAAAATTCATCAATGGATTTGATAGCGGATTTTTTGTTAAAAAAATATTCGATATTCTTAAATCTTACCTTTTCTGGATCAATAATTCTTGCAAAAAGTATTTCTAATAATGAAAATGGTATTGTTTCATATTCAGCTAAAATAACTGAAATAATTTCAATCATTAAATTTTTTAATTGATCTGAATGTTTTTTTCTATAACAAAATAAAAATAAAAAATTTAATTTACAAAAAAAAGAAAAAAACAACATACTGTACAGCATTAAATAAATTATTAAATACAACTGTACTTATTTGACAACCTCGATTATCTTCAAGATTAACTGCTGGTATAAATGATTGAACCATACTTAAATTCTATATAAAGAAAAATTTTTTGAATTTCATTTCATTTCCTTGTTTTTTTTTTCTTTTACTTCAAGTAAATAATATCGTCGTGTAAATAATGTATCATCAATTTTTTTTAATCCAAGTAATTGACGAGCAAGAAAAAGAAACATATTCTATTTTCAAAAAATAAAAATTATAATAATCAAATTTTCTTTTTTTTTTTTTAGAGTATCTTACGAGCATTTTTTCTGGTGATGCATCAGGTAAATTAGGTGCATATATACGAATAATATCCGCTAGACATATAGCTGCATAAAGTTGTATATCAGCACGTTCATGTGAATAAAAAAAATCATCAAGTAATGTTTTAAATAATCCTGTAAAAAAATGTCGTTTTTCATAATTTTGTGGTAAAGATTGTAAAAGTCTTTGATTTTTCTAAAGAAAATTTTATTTAGAAAAGAAAAACAAAAAGATTTGTTTTTTTGTTTGTGTTACTGTTAAATTATCAAGAAGTTTATTTGTAGGTAAACTTGGATTAACACTTAATACTTGTGATGGTAATACATCAGGTATATTACCTGATGATGATGATGTTGCCATTGATTTTTTTTCTTTTCTTTTTTTTTAAAGTATATTCAATAAAAAAACACTTGTGGAAAAATGAAATGAAATAGCTTTCTTTGTTCGACTTTGCGGTAGTTTTTATTGGTTGATAATTTATTTAAATTGATAGATGTCGATAGATATTATAATTTTTTAACCCTGAACTTACCTGTTTCGTGTTCGATAGGGATTTGTAAAAAAAAAAAAATGAAAAGAACTTGAGAATAATTGATTTGAAAATATAAAATAATCGATGCCAATAAAATTCATTCTCATATTATTTATGTTACAGTTTAGAAAATTTTGGAGTTCTATGAAAATCTTTTGTTTGAGAATGAAATAGAAATTAATTTATCATTTAACTTTTTTTTTTAATTTAAAGTTTGGTGATTAAGCTCAATAGAATTCACGAATAATTCTGTATGAATTGAAAAATTTCGTACACATTAAATGATTTAAAACATAACACATTGTGTACTTTTTAGGTTCAAGGTTTTTGTGAAGAAGTAAGTATCATTTGCCTTTCAATTGTGACTTAACTAAGATGCATTTTAAAATAAAAAGCGAACGTTAGTAACCGGAGAAACTGGTAATATGCAAAACGATTTTCATCAGTTTGTATTCAAATTCCAGAAGTCTGTTTCAATCGGGTTTTTCAGCAAGTCTTTGAAAACAGAAATTCGATAGAGAAAAATGTTCATTTTTAAGCTATGAAAATCCAAGATTTCTAGTTTGTACGATGAAAGAGTTGTAAGGATTGTTCAGGCCTCGTCAATTTCGGTGAGTTGGGAATGAATTACGGAAAAAGAATAGTTCGAGAGAGAGATAATTGACTATGCTGAGTAGAATAGTGAAGTTTATTGTTAGTTTTAATATGATTTACCACTATGATATCCAGATTTTCGATATTTTATATGTTCTACTTATGCAACGTTAACAGGTGATGTTTAGAAAATCAGAATACAATAATTGCAGAATATTTTGAAATTGAAAGAATTTTACTAATCACCTCTTTCTAGATGCATATTTTTGCATAGTCCAAGATTTCCCAAAAACCCTTTAAAATCTTGAACAGTATAAGTTAGAAGTCTCGAATTTTCGTAGTTCAAAAGAGAAAACTTTTTCGTTATCAAACATATCTTTTAAAAACCCCAAATTCAAATCAGAATCTCTGAAAATCACTGTAAATTTCTAAAGATCCACTGAAAAACCTTCCAGAAATCTAAAAGATCTTCCTGCTATAGATCGATGTGTTTAGAGCTTGACTACGAGCTGACGAAAACCATTTCGTAATGTCACTTCACGCTCACGAGTTACTCAATTTACCATGATTCGTCTTCTCATTTGAAATACACAAAATCGTTAAGTTTTAATCATGAAAACATATTTCTCCTATAATAGAATCAGTTAATCTTAAACTCTTTATTGAGAAAATAAACCAACATATACGAAAAATTTAATGTATCTTTTTTTTTCATATACTTGAAAAATCAGTTTCATAATTTAGAATATCTGCAATAGAATTCTATTATGCAAACATTAAATAATAAATTTTAACTTTGACAAATTTATATAGATTTTAACACTTATATCTTTCATGAATAAAAATGGAAAAATCACGAACAACATTTGTTCATTTCTTTTAATCATAAAAATGGCACTTACAACACAATACTAAGAAAATTAATAAAAAAAAAAAAGGTAAATACAGATCTACAGATCCTTATTTTGTTCTTACCTAAAAAGAAAAAGAAAAAAATCTAGAATTATTGGACGGATTTAATTAATTTCATAAATGAAACAGAAAATAAACTAATCTAAATGAAAAAATGTTCATTTCTTATAATTTAACTAATTTTTCCAAACGTTCACCATATTTTCCAAGTAAAAACATAATAACAAATCCTAATATTAAACCACTGTTCTGACATAATAAAATTTTTAACTTTAATACAGTTGTTATTGGTTTTTTTGCTCTAATATAATCTTTTTCAATTTCATCACCCATTGTAACAAGTTCTGGTATCTATACAAATATATACTCATAATCTAATAATAAATCAAAATAAAAATAACATACCATATCTGCAAGACCAATATATACAAACATTCCACCAGCTAATGCATAAATCCAAGGATGAAAGTGTTCGAGTTCACCTAGAATAAAACTAGTTTTTTCCTTTTTTGGTTTTTTTTTTTGTTTTATTCATACCTAATTTAGCACCAATTATAAAACCAAGATAACAACTACATGCAGATAAAAAATTCATTATTAATGCTTGTCCAAGAGTTAAACCACTACTAAGTAAAACAGCAATATCACCAAGTTCATGAGGAAATTCTTCAAATATTATTGGTAAAGATACTTGAAGACCTTCACCAATCGATACCATAAATGCAGCGCCTAATGTTAAACCATCTATGAAATTATGTAACATATCTCCAATAAATATCATCCATCCGGCTGCTTTCATTGTTTTTAAATTTGCCATTAATCCACGAGGATTTTTATGAATCACTGGCTGCAATAAAAAAAAAAACAATAGAATAAAACATAATTTATTGAAAATTTCAATTTCATAAAGGCAAATTATTTAAAATCTATAAGCATAAATTACTTTTCATATGTCCCACGCTTAATCAAATATTTACATAATAATTAAAATCAATTATGTTATATCATGCAAGCAATGATCAATATTTCTCAAATATTAAAATCTCTTGATCTTTCACTATGATTAATAAATGTTAAATATAGAAAAAAAAATTAATTTTATTTCTTTTTTTTATAGAGATGGCATGTTTCTCAACTCACCTTTATCCCCAATGTGATCATATCAATATACTAGATATGTGATATTCTACAGCAAAGATCCAAGAAAAAACAAAGAGAAAAAAAAATGCCAAGAATCTATAGTTAAACGTTTGAATAGTACGAATTGAATTCTTTTCATTTGTATTCAAATATTAACTTTTAAAACTATGAATCTAAAAAATTTAATATGACTCGAAAAGTTTTGTTTTCTTTAATCATGTATTGAATTACATTATGTGTGATATAAAATCATTCATAAATATAAAAACTTTAAATTGATAATTAATAATATACATACTTCTGTAGGAGAATTAACAGATACACGTTTTGAATTATCAAGAGTTGAAGGAGTAGAATCAAGGTGAAAATTTGACTTTGTCTACAATAATCAATGGATATACTAGCACAAATCAATTCTATGGCTAAAAACTTTATTAACTTACTAACACATCATCGTCTCCATGAGTATGTGTACAAACAATCTAAATATACATTTTAATATATATGATATAAATCAAATAAACAAATTAATACAAACAGTTTCAATATTAAAAAAAATTCTCAATAATTGATCACGCATATAATATATATAAATAATTATCATAGATATAAGAGCTTTATTAAGATAACTATGACGAATATCTAAATCTGGAATATCAAATGCCTATTATTATACACAAAAGAACCATTATTTCTTTTAACCAAAAAAAAAAAAAATTCAAAGAACAAACCATAGGAATTAAATGAAATATTCCTGATCCAGTAAGTGTACCAACAGCTAAGAAAAGAATTATTTAATAATAATAAAAAAAAACAATCTTATTCTACCCAAGCCAATAAATGCACTAAGAATCCATTTAAATATTGATTTATTTCGAAATGGTAATATAATAGCACCACAAAGAGCTGAGCAATTTATAAATGTTACAGTAATTAAACCAATTAAAACATCTAAAATAATAATAATAATAAAATAATAAGATTAAAAAAACAAAAATATTTCTCCTATACTTTTCCATGTAACACGTCCTCCTCCTGATTTTATACATCCATCATTAAATTTAACATTGAATAAAACTGGTAATAATTGATATATATCACTACGATTTAAATTATCAGTGATATTATCTGCTTTAATATTAAATGCATTCAATAGATCATCGGAAGAATTGAAACACTGAAAATTACAAATAAAAATTTGATTCTTCACCTACAACATTATATTCTATAAGATGAAATAAATTTCATGTGAATACAAAATTTTTATTGCACACTCGACTATGCCGATAGATCGTATCTTTCGTACAATGATTCTTAAATATATTTGGAGTATTCTCTAATTGAATTTTCAACTCTAACGAGAATACTTTCGAAGTAGGATTTTATATGACTCATGAATTCGTTTAGTTCACAGAAATATCCATGCCTGTTTAGTATGAGAGAATTTAACATCTTCAGCTCGTGTACTAGCTGATTTATTTTTATTAATTTTAAAAGAGTAATTTTAGTATTGAAGATACTGTTTATTTAGAGATCACCTGTCCAACTGTTGTAACCAAAGAATTTTTAATACTGTTCCAACAATAGTTTAACATACGAATAAATAGAGAATACGCTGATAATTATTTCAATCATTCGTGTCTATTTAAATTTCTATAAAAAAAAAATTTATGTTCGATGCATCACATATTAACTCATAGTTCACTGAAAGTAGTTTCATATTTGTGGGGTTTGTCATTTATTGAATAGATTTAGAGAGATCAATATCTAACTTGTGTTCTTCATTATTACTAGTGATAAATCACAGTTTTATTATAACGAGAGTAATCAGAACTCGGATCATTAAAAGCTAATCAACGAATAATCCAGGTTCGTCGAAAAAAAATTAATCAAACAAACAAATTTTGAGAATTTTCTTCAGGAAATTTAGTTTAATCACATCTATATTATTACCACCTAGCAAATGAATGTTGGTCTGTCAATCACTGTCTAGTACAAGCTTTCAAACTATATTAGTAGAGAAAATAAAAGAAAAGCCCTTCAGATCTCAATTTTCACCATGACAATGCAAGATCACAGAAAACATGAAGTACCAATGAATTTTTAGAAGAAAATCACATTCAAGTCTAGTATTTTCTACAAATCTAATGACTTTTCTTTTGCTGTCAAAAGTTAAATATCG